AAGACCCTGTCTCAAAAAAAAAGAAAAAAAAAGATAGAAGCTGAGATTATTGATTTGACACCTTTCTCCTTTCTAATAAAATTGTTTAAAAATTTCTACTGCTTTAGTTGCATCCCATAAATTTGGATATTTTGAGATTTTGTTACTCAGGTCAACATGTTTTCTAAGTTCTCTTCAGATTTGTTCTTTTACTCATAGGTTATTTATAGCTGTGTTGCTTAATTCCTTCACATTTGGGAAATTTTATAGCTATTTTATTATTTTGAATTTGGATAAAAAAGCAAGGATTGACAATATGCTGCCTATTAGAAAAGCACTTTAAATGTAAACACACAAATAGACCTACATTTTTTTAAAAGATACACAACATGGCATACGCAACATTACATTAGACAACTGGTAGGGCTATATTAATATCAGACAAAGTAGACCTCAAGAAAATGATTATTACCTGAGATAAAAAGGGACATTTATTAATACAAGTTAATTAATCAAAATATTAACATTTAATATTACAGTCAAAAAGCACACTCTTTATGATTTTAATATGTTGGAATTTATTTATTTATTTTTATTTTCAAGACAGAGTCTCACTCTGTTGCCCAGGCTGGAGTACAGTGGCATAATCTCAGTTCACTGCAACTTCCTCCTCCCAGGTTCAAGCAATTGTTGTGCCTCAGCCTCCTGAGTAGCTGGGATTATAGGCATCTGCCACCACGCCTGGCTAGTTTTTTTTGTTTTTTTTTTTTTGTATTTTTAGTAGAGATGGGGTTTTACCATGTTGGCCAGGCTGGTCTTGAACTTCTGACCTCAGGTGATCTGCCCGCCTCAGACTCCCAAAGTGCTGGGATTATAGGCATAAGCCACCGTGCCCAGCCTGCCAAATTTATTTATTTATTGAGACTTGTGTTTATAGCCCAGCATATGGTCTACCTTGGTGAATGTTCCATGTTCATTTGAAAAGAATGTGTATTCTTGCTACTGCTTAGTATGATGTTCTTTCTATAAATATCATCTAGGTCAAGTTAATAATGTTCAAGTCTTCTTTATCCTTTTTGATTTTTTGATAGCTTATTGCTGATTATTGTTCTATTTATTACTGGACAAGGGTTGTTAAAATCTCCAAGTATTACTGTGAATTTGTTAAGTTCTCCTTTTAGAAAGTTCTATTTTTGCTTCATGTATTTTACAGCTTTGTTATTAGGTACATGCATATTTAAGACTGCTGTGTCATCTTGATGAATTAGCTCTTATCATTATTAAATGCCCCTCTTTATCTCTATAATAATAGTTTCAGTGAAGTCTACTTTGTTTATTAATACATATAGCCCCCCTCCAGCTTTCTCATGCAATGTTTGCATGGTGTACTTTTTTTTATGTTAATCTATGTGTTTCTTTATATTTAAAGTGCTTCTCTTATAAACAGTGCATTGTTGGGCCCTACTTTTTTTAATCCAAGTTAATAGTCTGCTTTTTAATTGGAGCCCATTTACATTTATTGTAAGTATTGATATGGTTGGGTTTAAATATGCCATCTTGGTATTTGTTTTCTATTCATCCTATTTGTTTTTTATTCCTTTATTCTTCCTTTCTTCCCTTCTTTTGGGTGAATGGAATATTTTAAACTGTACCTCTTATAAGTAAAAATACTACTTATTTGCATAGTTTTAGTATACAAATAATATCTGAGTTAAACTGGTATTCAAATTAGAGTATGCCAAAAGAGAGCTAAGAGAAGATACATAAGGGATTGGGCCATTCTGGTGGCGGAAACCAACTTTTTCTACCAGAATTCTATTTGGGGCTGCCCCTGCCCTTCTTTTCCCATCACAAAATTGAACCATGACCTAGCAAACCTTAGGCTAACATGGTAGTAATAATACAAAGCACATATTCGTTAATCACTGCAGTTAATATAATTGGATAGCTACCTGTATATTGTCACATTCTTCTGTTGCTTTCTTCTCACTGAAAGGATCTTAGGATCCACCCTGGAAAATATGAAGTAACGTCCATCCAATTAGGTTTATATCAGACAAATACCATTTTTTATGTATCAGACAATTCATGAGCAGCTTGGTGCTGTCTCTAGAATCTTGCAATTTAAGTGAGAAGGCATTTATATAATTGTATTATGTATTTATATTATATAGTCTCATATGCATTTATTATATAGTTATGTAATTAAAAGATAAATAGCAAGGCAAGGCTGTGTGTAACTTTTACAGATGAATAAATGAAATGAAGATGTTTGTGTTGTTAATTAAAGAAACAGGCTGGGTGCAGTGGCCCATGCCTATAATCCTAGCACTTTGGGAGGCTGAAGTGGGCTGATTGCCTGAGCTCAGGAGTTCGAGATCAGCCTAGACAACATGGTAAAACCCCGCCTCTACTAAAATACAAAAAATTAGTGAGGCGTGGCAGCATGCACCTGTAATCCCAGCTACTCAGGAGGTTGAGGCAGGAAAATTGCTTGAACCCAGAAGGCAGAGGTTGCAGTGAGCCGAGATTGCACCACTGCAAATGCACTCACTCCAGCCTGGGTGACAAAGCAAGACTCTGTTTCAAAAAAAAAAAAGAAAGAAAGAAAGAAACAGCTGCCTAAGTAGGGAAATTGCCACATATTTAGACCCTGGCGATACCATGCTTTCTCCACAGGCTAACAGCCTGCAAGGTTCAAATTTCTCTGACATTTTCCTGAATTGGCTAATATTCAATCTGGTTGTATCTTTTTGTCTCTCTCTACAGAGGCTCTTGGTCATTTATAGTGAGAGAAACTCTTACTTTTTCCCCCCTCACTCTTCTGTATATAGATGGTTATAGATAAGTATCACATGATTATTTAAAGGATTGAAATTCCATTTTGATTTGCCTTTCCTGGGTAGGAAACGTTTATATCATTTTATACTTTTGAGCATGAATTGCCTCTCTTTCTAGGTGTAATCAATTTCTACTCTTCAGCATACAGAAGATTTTATGAATACTATTCATTGCAGAAAGAGCTCTAAAAATAATTTTGCAGGTAGGGTTTGTGGAACACTGATGATCTTATGTGAAACATTGGCAGGCAAAAAGAACAAAGGCACATCAGGGTAAAGGTGGTAGTAGGCAGAGCATTTCATTTCTTTTGCCTCCACCAAAGGAGAATTTGCATTTACTGGAGAAGGAAAACAAGTAAGAAACGGGAGCATCTGCACTAGCTGTTGAAGGTTTCATTTCTCATCACTGTTAGTCACATTTGAATGGAACCATTACACTCTTGTTGGTATGTACAACTATGCCCTCACTTTTTTTTTTCCAAAAGGAAAATCTTGAATTTTATTTTTAAAAGTACAAAGAGCTGTATTTGACATTATGCAGTTCATTTTGGAATTGACAGTCTTAAACCTGTTCATTTTCAGTAGGGTGGTAGAGAGTGTACAGTATATGGCATTTTTACACCTAATAGCACCTCCAGTAATCTGTGATGCATATTACATACACACACCTTTTAGCACCTGTTTCTACCTGACAGCTGACAGCATTAGGCTGAATGTTGTGATGAACAACTGAAATGTCGAGCAGTATTACAGTGGTTTCTTATTGGAAAAAGTAAGTCCCTTAGAGCTTTTTTTAAATACTTTTCCATCAAGATTTTAAAGTGACATATTTACAAGTACATAATAAGATGACATACTCTTTAACTGTTGGTTATTCTTCTAGAAATGGAGATGGATTTGGGCTAATCAGCAGATGATTATTCTCTTGAGCTAGGGTGTAAGCATGCTTTTTTTTTTTTTTTCTTTTTGTAAGACAGGGTCTTGCTCTGTTACCCAGGCTAGAATGCATTGGCCCAATCATGTCTCCATGTCTCACTACAGCCTCGACCTCTGGGCTCAGCCTCTCTTGTAGCTGGAACCACAGATGTGCACCACCACCCCTGACTAATTTTTTTTATTGTTTTGTAAGAGACAGGGTCTCATTCACTATGTTGTCCAGGCTGGTCTCGAACTCTTGAATTCAAGCAACTGTATCCCCCTTGGCCTCCCAGAGTGTTGGGATTATAGGCGTGAGCCACTATACCCGATGGCCTTAAGCGTGCATTTTTGTTTTGTTTTGTCTTGTTTTGAGACAGAGTCTCCTTCTGTTGCCCAGGCTGGAGTGCAGTGACATGATCTCGGCTACTGCAATCTCCTCCTCCTGGGTTCAAGTGATTCTCTTGCCTCAGCCCCCAAGTACCTGGGATTACAGGAGCTCACCATCACGCCCAGACTTTTTTTGTATTTTTAGTAGAGATGGGGTTTCCCTACGTTGGCCAGGCTGGTCTCAAACTCCTGACCTCAAGTGATCCACCTGCCTCAGCCTCCCAAAGTACTGGGATTATAGGCGTGAGCCACTGTGCCCAGCAAAGCATGCATTTTGTTCAGGGAAATCTATTTTGCATCCGTATTACTGACTATTCTTAGAAATATATGTATACAGGATTGTTAGAATTAAGAATTGCTAAAATTCTTAGTATAATATTTATTTATTTGACTGATTTTCAGATTATTCAGTTCAGCACAGAGAATGAGATTTATAGGTTTGTTTTCTTATTCTTCTGCCACACTTGGGATTTTGGTCTAGTGGTCACAAAATATTTCCTAGAAAAATGTTTTCCTAGAATTAGCCCCCCAAAAATAAAATTACTTAAAAAAAAAACTCTTTTTAGTACACAAAATTCAGATTTTGGACTTAAATGCTTTGGTCATATGCTAAAAATTAAATAAGCAAATAAAATATCTAACAAAGCAAAGCTGGTCAACGCTATGGCTTTCAAAAAAATTCCAGCCAGTGTTGCCCATCCTAAATACTTCTTTCCCATCTCTTGGCCTGAATATACTTCAGGAGAGAAGCTGTTACACTCAACTTTCATTAAAAAGTTTCTAGTTTTCATGTGCTTTAGAACCAGATTTTGGTTATTAGATAAACAATATACTGTTTAATCTATGTTGACTAATTAATCATTTATAACTTTTCAGGTGCTGCTTAGGATGAATATGATTTGGAGAAATTCCACTTCTTGTCTAAGGCTAGGAAAGGTGCCACAGAGATACCAAAGTGGTTACCACCCAGTGGTTCCTCTGGGATCAAGGATTTTAACTGATCCAGCCAAAGTTTTTGAACATAACATGTGGTGAGTTTTCTTTTTAAGCCTTATATTATGTGTGTTTCTTAAGTATCACCAGTCGTATTACTTTCATTTAGAACTAAGAAAGGATTTTTAAAGCTGATGATCTAACTCATGTTATAGAGGTCCAAAAGCTAGGATAACCGATCCTAACTTAAATGTTGCTGATTCTGAATTTCATTGCAAATGGAATTGGAAAAGCGAAACTTCCCATGTGCTTTTAGTAGCTTTGGAGTTCTTGTAGGTCCTTCATGCTTACCTCTGATCCTGATCTGCCAGCTGTCAATGGGTGGGGGTGAGGACTCTTTCCTAGGTGAGGCCCTCCTCCTGCTCCACAGTCCTTTCCCTCTTTTTCATACTTGTTAACCAGCAAATATGTGTTGCCACCTGTAGCTTACTGAGCACCAAGGAGATCACATTGATATGATTCTTGTCCATGCTTTTAGGAAATCCACACTATTTGGAAAGATAGATATTTATAGAAAAAGCTGATGATTACCCATACAAGGCAGTAAGTTGTGAGTGCTCAGTGAGTGTTACAGGCCATATGCCACATGAGGACAACTCAGTAATGCAAAACCACTTCTGTTTGGGCATAGTCGTGAAGATTTCTTAAAGTGAGGGAAAACTGAGATTAGGATTACATACAGGCATACTTCATAAATGTTGTGGGATTTGTTGAGACCACTGCAATAAAGCAAATTTTGCAATAAAGTGAGTCACACCCTTTTTTTGGTTTCCCAGTGCACATAAAAGTTATGTTTACACTATGCTGTAGTCTCTTCAGTTTACAATAGCATTATGTCTAAGAAACCAATGTACAAACCTAATTAAAAAGTAATTTGTTGCTAAAAAATGCTAACAGTCACCTGAGCCTTCAGTGAGTCATAAGCTTTTTGTTGGCAGAGATTCTTACCTCAGTGTTGATGGCTGCTGACTAATCAGGGTGGTGCTTAGAGTGGCTATGGCAGTTTCTTAAGAAAACAATGGAGTTTCCCTCATCAGCTGACTCTTCCTTTCATGAAAGATTTTTCTGTAGCATGTGATGCTGTTTGATAGCATTTTACCTACAGTATAACTTTCAAAATAAGTCAGTCCTCTCGGATCCTGCCACTGTTTTATCAACTAAGTATATGTAATATTCTAAATATCCTTTGTTGTAATTTCCACAATATACACAGTGTCTTTACCCCCAGTAGATTCCATCTCAAGAAACTACTTTCTTTGCTCATCCCTACAGAGGAACTCCTCATCTGTTCAAGCTTTATCATGAGATTGCAGCAATTCAGTCACATCTTTAGGCCCCACTTTTAATTCTAGTTCTCTTGCTGTTTCCACCATATCTGCAGTTACTTTTTCCACTGAAGTCTTGAAGCCCTCGGTTAGAATCAACTTCCAAAATCCCATTGATGTTATTATTTTGACCGCCTCCCATGAATCACAAATGTTCTTAATGGCATGTAGATTGGCGAATCCTTTCCAGAATGTTTTCAGTTCACTTTGCCCAAATCCATTGGAGGAATTATTATTTATGGCAGCTATAGCTTTATGAAATGTAGTTCCTAAATAAGTCTTAAAAGTTGAAATTACTCCTTGATCCATGGGATGCAGAATAGATATTTTGTTAGGCATGAAAACAACATTAATACCCTTACACATTTCCATCAGACTCTGGGGTGACAAGGTATATTGTCAGCGAGCAGTAGTATTTTGCAATTCCTTTTTCTGAGCATTAGGTCTCAACAGTGGGCTTAAAACATTCAGTAAACCATGCTACAAACAAATGTATTGTCATCCAGTCTTTGTTGTTTCATTTATAGAGTACAGGCAGAGTAGATTCTGCATAATTTTTAAGGGCCCTAGGATTTTGGAATGGTAAAAAGCACTGGATTCAGCTTAAAGTCACCAATTGCATTAGCCCCTAACAAGAGAGTCAGCCTGTCCTTTGAAGCTTTGAAGCCAGGCATTCACTTCTTCTTTCTGGCCATGAAAGACTTAGATGACATCTTCCAGTAGAAAGCTGTTTTATTTACATTGAAAATTTGTTTTTTAGTGTAACTACCTTCATCAGTGATCTTAGCTAGATCTGGATAACTTGATGCTACAGCTTCTCCATCAGCACTTAGTGCTTTGCTTTGCAATTTTATGCTATGGAGATGGCTTCTTTCCTTAAACCTTATGAACCAACCTCCACTAGCTTCACTTTTCTTCTGCAGCTACATCATCTCTCTGAGCCTTCATAGAATCAAAGAAAGTTAGGGCCTTGCTCTGGATTAGGCTTTGGTTTATGGGAATATTGTGGCTGGTTTTATCTTTTATGTAGACCACTAAAACTTTCTCCATATCAGCAATACTATTTCACTTTCTTTTCATTCTGTATTCACTGGAGTAGCATCTTTTTTTTTTAGAGAGGGAGACTCTGTCAACCAAGCTGGAGTGCAGTGGTATGGTCACAATTCACTGTGGCCTCAACCTCCTGGGTCAAGTAATTCTATGGCCTCAGCCTCCCAAGTAGCTGGGACTATAGGCATACACCACCGTGCCTGGCTAATTTTTTGTATTTTTTACAGATATGGGGTTTCACCATGTTGCCTAAGCTGGTCTTGAACTCCTGAGCTCAAGTGATCTTCCCAGCCCAGGTTTCCAAAGTGCTGGGATTACAGGCATGAGCCACTGCACTCAGCCTGGAGTAGCATCTTTGATTTCCTTTAAGAACTTTCCTTTGCATTTCACAAGTTGACTGGTGCAAGAGGCGTAGGTTTTGGCCTGTCTCCGCTTATAATCGGCCTTCCTTACTAAGCTTAATCTTTTCTAGCTTTTACTTTAAAGTGAGATATATATAATTCTTCCTTTCACTTGAACACATCGAGGCCATTGTAGGGTAACAACTGGCCTCATTTCAATATTTTTGTGTCTCAGGGAATAGGGGAGCCTGAGGAGAGGGAAAGAGACAGGGAAAGCCAGGTCAGTGGAGCAGTCAGAACACACATAACATTTATCAATTAAGTTTGCTGTTTTATATGGGTGTGGTTCATGGTGCTCTAAAACCATTACAATAGTAACATCAAAGATCACTGATCACAGATCATAACAGATATAATAATAATGAAACAGTTGGAAATATTACAAGAATTACCGAAATGTAACAGAGACGTGAAGTGAGCACATGCTGTTGGAAAAATGGTGCCGATAGACTTGTTCAATGCAGGGTTGCCACAAACCTTCAATTTGTAAAAAATGCAGTAACTGTAAAGAGTGATAATGCAAAGCACAATTATACAAGGTATGCTTCTATTTACATTACCTTCAGTACATAGCACAATGCCTGACACACAAATATTTGTTGAATTAATGTTTTGACTAGGTAAACTGAAATAAAGGCATTCTAGGTGGATAGAAAATCATAAAGCACTGAGATGAGGAAATGTTAGGTATTTTCAGGAGACAGGGCACAGGATAGTTTGCCTTAAGAAAGGCTTTTCTAGGAGACTGGTGAAAGATAAGGTTGGAATGACA